CGCTAAAAAATATATCCTGGCTTGATTGGAATATTCATTTACTGTATTCTCTACTCCGCAATTGTATCTTGGTTGTTCCGAGGATATATTTATAATATTAAGCTATTTTTATATATTTCATCATAAAATGGGTGAATAAAAAGCAATAAAACCTTATAATTACCATAATATTGACTAAATATGCCTGGAATAAGCTAGGATTGATTAAAATATTTTACGAGTTTTTTATAGCCAGCGTTGAATAGTCAGCGTTGAATATTACCAAAATACAACCACGATATAACAGTGCTCGCTAAAGAATATATCCTAATTTGATTGGAATATTCCTTTACTGTATTCTCCACTCTGCGATCGTATCTTGGTTGTTATGAGGATATATTTATAATATTAAGCTGTTTTTATATATTTCATCATAAAATGTGTGAAATAAAAAATAATAAAACCTTATAAATACGCCTGGATTAAGCTAGGATTGATTAAAATATTTTTAGATTTATCAACCTTAATTTGTAGTACCGACATTTGCCCCTGAAAACTCGAGACTCCAATAATTATCGTATTCAGGGTTCCTTAAAATTCAGTAAACCATTTCTCTTCGCCTTTCAGCAGCTCAAATATTGATTCCATATTTTTATTCGTTACAGTGTACATTGTCTCCAGGGCAATGTCGCTTGAAACAACTGACCCCATATCAAATGATATAGTTGCCTATGGTCTGCCTTTGAATTTCGGTGTTGGAACTGAACTGGGTAATCCTTCATTTAGATTGGAGAGCAGATAGCAGATTGAGCTCATCCTCTAAAAAATTGATCATGAACCTGCAATTTATTTAAAAAAGAAATACATTAATCATTAAAACTCCCAAATGAACATAAGATTTTATTTTTAAATAACAACTAAATGTAACTTGCCTATTCAGTATTCAACCTCTTAAATGTTATATCAATCTGTGATGAGTTCCAGTTTACATTTGTTGGCCACCTCAACATTTGAGGTCTGGCCTTAGAAGTGGCAAGAGTAACCAAAGAAGTGTGCTCATAAAATTAGAGCTGTGTAAAAAAAAAAATCATATTTTGCTTTGCACAAAAATAAATGTTTTTTGATGTTTATACTAGATACTAACCGTTAGCAAAAAAAGAAAACCATCTATAGATCCCAAAGGCCGGCTCTGCCTTATTTTGATGACTACTGCATTAATTTGCTCAATAAGGAATTCATAGAGCGCTGCAGATCAATTAAATGAAGAAAATATATGTACATTCTCGCCAAAGGTGTAAAGTCCTTTGGATACACTGAAATTACTGGAAGGAAAAAATAAATTGATAATAAAAAATTTATATACAATTGATTAAAAGGGGTAGAAGCCTCCCCGATTTTAAAGTTCAAAATACCATTCTTCATTTGGTGGGCATCCGCACCACATGATGGAACTTTCTTCCACTTTGGCACTTCTCCTCTATTTGGCTTGCCGATCAAAAGGACAACTTCATCAGGATTTATTCTCAGATCTTTCCCACCCATTATGAATACCATTTTTTCATGTTGTCAGCATTGCAATATTTGCAGTGTTAGAACATTGTCTTAGAAGAGATAAGGTGGAAGAGCAAAAAATTGATCAACATTCATCATTTTCAGCTCATTCATGATGTCTTCAGACATGACATACTTGACTTTATCGAGCACATCTCTCACTACAGACGACCGACATCTACATCTCATGGACCCTGGGTTTACAAACCTACATAAAACAAAATAATGCAAAAAATATTAGGGGTCATGTAATCATTCTTAAGTTGATATTTCAGTGTTATTTACTCTTTGTTAAGGTGTTTAGTGAAAGTGGGTTAGGTAGACATGTTTTATTTTGGGATTATTCTAGTAATATTTAAGCATTATTATGTTATCACTCAAGTATTTTTTAATGAATTATTTAAGTGATTTTAGTATTATTTCCGTTGTGTTATTTGGTGTTAGTTGTTATTATTAAAGAGAACCATGTATTATAATTGAAATTATTATAGTATTATTTATGTATTATTCTAGTATTATTTTGCTATTATTCTGGTATTATTTTGATAGTATTATTTAGGTATTATCCTGGTATTATTTCGGTTGTATAAATGAAATTCATGTTTTATTCAATCTTTTTCAGGTATTACTCGGGTAATATTTTGGTAATATTTAGGTAGTGCTAAGTAGTGTTAGTTTGATATTATTTAGGTAATATTCAGGTGATATTCAGGTAATAGTTCGGTAGTGTTAAATAGTGTTAGTTTGGTGTTATTATAAAAATTCAGGTTTTATTATGGTGTTATTCTAGTATTATTATAGTAATAGTAGGTGAACTTGTGATTTATTACTAAAAAATAATAAGTCTGAGCTAAAATACTACTCAAATATTACTCAAATACTACTATAATACTACTCAAATATTACCAAAAAACATTCACTCTGACCTAAATACCTGAGTGATTTGTTACTCAAATACTACTAAAATATTACTTGAATACTATATGGATGAATTTCTACAATCTGTTAATAGTCTTGTCAATGAAAGTAGAACCACCAAAATAAAAATTACCTGGATGAACCCTCTTGAATTTCCTTCTTCTTACGCTCTTTCACTTCGTTTTTCTTGCGTTTATTAGCCTCCATTGTTGAATCCTCTTCATTCTCAATTATCAACGACTCTTTGGTCTCCATTTTCACAAGGCTCTTTTTGGTTTCCGTCTGCCTGGACTCGGATTCCATCTTGGTAAGGAGAAATCACAACTTTACTTTGACCAGCGAACAACAACAGAAAACCCTAAGCTTTTCTGAATCCAAAACCCTAAACGATTGTCGAATGAAGGTGCTCCGCGCTCGTGCGACGTTTAGCTTTCCGATGATCTGACATTTTGGTGAGGCTCGCGATTTAATTTTTAGATGCTTCAGGTCGAACTGAGGCCGGGCTGCGTAGTAAGAAAATAAAAAATTAATTTTTTTAACTGTGGGGCCCGTATTTCCATGTGTTACATTTTAATTAGACATCAAACGCATACTTGCGTGCGGTGTCCGCACAAAATAAGGGCTCCAAAATCTTTACTCACGTACAACCATCATAGGAGATGAGAAATGTGTTGAGAATGGAAAAAGGATCAAGTAACTCAAATTAAAATATTCACTTAAATAATAATTTTACGTTCTTATGAATTTTAGGATATTTTGATTTGAAATGAAGTTTCACATATATTTTCCTACAATAATATAGGGAAAATTTTTCAGTTTGAACTCTAGACGTAGCTTTATGTGTGAACTCCAATAATATGCCGCCACGTGTGCTACATCACAGAGGTTATTTTGGGGTTATTGAAGAGAAACCCATATATTTTATTTCAATAACCCCAAAATAGTCTTCGCGGTTCCACTTCAATAACCCGCGGAGGTTATTTCAGGAGGTTTTTTGGGTTATTTCAAGGTTATTGAAGAAAAAAACTCATATGTTCCATTTCAATAACCCAAAAATAACACCGCGGAGATTATTTCGGGATTAATTTCAAGGTTATTTATGGGTTATTGAAAAGAAGCTTATAAATAATCTCGAAATAATCAAAAAATAGTACCGCATAAATTATTTTGAGATTATTTCTGGGGTTATTAGAGTCTGGAGTTCTGCAATAAAATTCACGGTTTCAGTTTAATAATTATTTAGATGAGGCAAATATAACACATATAAGGGTAAAAGAGACCTGCTACGTCCCGTTAGAGAATTTTTACATAATTTAGAGGGCATATTTCTAATATTTCGCTTAACAAGCCGACGGACACCGTGGCGGGGAAGCGTTCATTCCTCTTTTTTCCGGTCTTGCGCGCAATCTATCACTCTGCGCGCTATCTCCGCCTATCTCTCTTCGAGTGAGCGATGGGCACTTCGAAGGGTGGGAAGGAGAAGAAGCGCGAGCTCAACGATCGCGAGCTCAAGCTTCGCCAGCGCCTTCATGAGGCTCTGTCCCTCGGCATCAGGTTAAAAATCCTAACTTCGTTCCCTTTCTCGTTTCCGGTGATAAGAAATGGAGTCACTTTACTTGTGAGAAAGTGCCATTGAGATTAGGTGGTTCTTGTTCCTAGAATTTGGTTGGCTCGTACTGTTGAACACAGTTATGTCCGTGAATCACACCTCAGGAGTAAGGAAGGAAAAGAGAAAGAGTAGGATAAGACAGGAATTTCAGGAGAGAAAAAATTAGTAATTCCCTCATGGCCTTTCGGGAAAGTCTCCCTTTTACTATTTTCATATTTACGGTAAATAGACATACATTATGAAAGGTCGGTAACGCTCATAAGATTATCTATTGTCACTTGGTCATAGTAACCTGCAAAGCTGCCATTAATTTTACTGAATCCTGTTTTATCAGATTGTTATTTCACTCACTCATATTCTAGCAAGTCTTTTATTTGCTTATTGGTCGATCTTCTTGGTTCAGCCCGCGAGATAATTTACTCTGTGCCGGTTGAGAGCTTTTTGAGCTCGTTTGAGTTGATTATTTGACATGTGTTCCATCCATGGTCATCGGATTTGGTTCGACGTATTTTGATCATCATCTTCTAGTTTTCTAGTTCTCTCGTACATTAGTAGGCTGTAAGCTTCCATAAGAGCGAGATAATTAAATGAAACAACAGTTAATTCTTATTTGACTAAATCCTAGTAATTGATACTTCCTTGATTTCTGTGCACTTGATTACTTATAAATAGATGGTAGCTTCTTTTCAATTTTTCCTGCTTCTGTCCCCTTGTTCTGCGCTTCGGTCACGTTTCTGAGAGACTTCTTTCGATGGAAAAGTTCCTTGAATCATAGGCTCATCTCGAGTAAGGTTCTACTTCACATACTATTTGCTGAGGAAAAAGGCAAGAGATGCTTCGAGGGTGGTTGTAAGAAGAAATTGGCGGTGAAGAAGGGGAGAGACACGCTCTCAGGCCATGTTGGATCTTCTAGAGCAACTCCCAGGGTACTCTGCTTGCTATTGTGGATATTCCTTGGACAACCTTTGTCGTTCACTCATCCCATATGCCCGTGCCTCCCGTCACAGTCCCTAGTTTGGTGGAAGGTAGGCTTTCATGCCATACATTGGCTCTTGGTCGTTGCATCAGATGCACCCCAAGAGTCATATGTATGAAATGATCAAAGTTATTGGTCCGTTCTATTGTTCAGTCAAAGCATTTTGTGGTTGCTTGTCGGTTGATGATTTTATAAATTGTCAGGAATGACAAATGACAAGATCCCTCAGAGTTTGAATGAGGCTCCATCGACGTCGATTGAGATTGTGGGGCAGATGATGGAAGGATTCAATCAACCCACCAAAGGAGGAGATCAGGAGATGGTCAGCCGTTTTTCTGAGATCGAGAGCTCTCTAGCTTGTGATGCGGGTATCCAGCGGATTGCAGAGGCACATACTGTATTGACTCTCATGGCTCAGTTGGAAGAGGAGCTATCAGTGGTCAAGCATATTGTGTCTACTCTGCAACAAGACTTTGTAAGTTCACAAGAGCCGTCCCAATCTCTCCAGTTTTATATAAAGTCCAATAGATTAGGTCAGTTTAAGTCTAATGGCAAGTTTTTGTTCCGGATGCTGGTTTGGCTGGGGGATGCCTCGGTTGAAGCTGCACCAGACCCATGTATTCCCTATTTTTTCTCTGTGTAATGCAGGAGATTTGTAATGATTGCATGTGATAATATTTCTTTTAAGTGAAATGACATCTTCAATTTTTATATTAGTATTTTATGGTTTAGTTTTTCGAGGCAACTGGTCCCCGTTTTGTCTTACGACGATTGAGATTTACTTAGACTCTATAAATAAATGTTTGATAGCTGAAAGAATGCTTTTCTCTTCCTATTCCTTTTTTTTCGTCGTGCTTCGTTTTGCCTTCAACTTGGAAATGACTCTCCGATGTCAGGGATCAGCTCCCTCGTGCGCCTCGTCGCTATACTCCCCATGACATGGTGATAACTCCCTAATCTGTTTCGTCAAACATGTCACAGGTGGAGGTGTTGGAATGTCAATTATGTCATGTTATTTTCCCTATCGTTCACCTTGGGTAGCCAAATAGAACGAGAGAGCGAACATTGTGAGGGAGAATGAGATGGTATGCTGGGACCAGCTTTTTCTCGGCCTTTGGTTACCTTCGTGCGAGAAGCTATGTGCTATTTTGATCCTCTATGGGGTTGCTCTCCCTACTTAATTGTCATTATAATGTCTTTCATGATTTTTGCTCGCTAGAAGGAGATGGTATGGTCAATTGAGCTTATTGGGCATTTATTTTCCTTTAGATTGTACCTCGAGGTAGACAAACTTTTCATCCACAGTTCATTTTTACTTTGTCCATCTTGAGAATAAGGTCAAGGACTGGAAGTTGAAGTTTGGCTTTGCCATTTCTCAAGTTGGCTGGACAGCCCTACGACTCCAAATGACTTTCTTTCAAAATCGAAAGGAAAAGTTTCAGTGGAAGTGCAACATGAAATTGAGAAGGTCGAATGGGACATATTGGTCATCTGCCAGTATTTGAAAAATTCCACGATTAACAAAATGCTAGCTTCCGAAAGGTTTGGTGAGATGTCCGAGGATGACTGGTGTGTTTTAGACGCCATGCATGCTGAGTGAGAAAAACTAAATATTGCTATGATCGCCGAGGAGGCGGGGGAAAATCACTGAGGGTTTTGTAGGTAATAGTCTTACTTTATCTTTCTTGTTTGACTGTCATTTTTTTGAAAAAGGGGACTGATGAGTTGATCATTATTTGAGGGGCTGACCTGCCAAAAGAAATGATAGCCGACGGACAATATATGTCCTAATCAGACGATGGTCTCAACCAAGGTGGGTCCCCTAAAGGGTGTTTTGGCCCCTGTGATGGTCTCATTAGGGAACATCTATCCTGATCTCGAATTTCCCTTAGTGGAGCAAAGGAGTGCTATTATTAGGATTTCTTCACTTGAAACTTTTTTGCGGGAACTGAAGATAGAGAGCTGGGGGATGAAGGGTTGTCACGTTGGAGGGATGTTTTTAATGTCAGGAATTAACCAAAACGAGAACAGATGATCGAATAGGCAAAATCATTTATCTGTTATTTTATTATATTACTAATAGTTTAATATTAAATTTAATTAGACTTATAACTTCTGATTTTAATATCTTTCAATCCTTTAATAATTATATACATAGTATTATATATTGAATTGATCATTTTGACACGTAAAATTTATAAAATTGGTTCTATTGAAATCTGAGAGATTCAAAATTTGGGCTATATTTTAAAGTTGCCAAAATTTTTACTCAATTTCACAAAATTGGTTGTTACAGTCAAGGTCGCCTCTATTGAGCCATTGCTGATGATCCCAAGTATTGCAAGCAATGAGAAGTGGATCCATTGGAATTGGATCCCTGGGAAAGTGAGTGGTGTCGAAAGGGGAAGGCTCCAGTTGAAGAGCCTTCTCAAAAGCGTTAGTTGGCGGTTCCCTATCGGGTGTCTCGACTGATGTGGGTCCCTTGGCACGGGTAGCGACGAGGGTAATGATAAGCTGAGGAGGCCGATTTGCTCAGGTCGACTTTATAAAGAATTAGAATTCCTTGAATCTTGTTCTGCTTGACATGCTCTTGCTCTGGCTCCCATTAGTGCTTCTCTTTTGGTGACCAAATATTTTTCAATTTTTGATTTGAAGAAGCTATCCATGGAGGCAACCCATTTACACGCATTAGCTTGACGGGCTTCTGACGCCTTGGCAATCTCTTGCCGTCCTGAGTGCCAAATGCATCAGGCTCTACAAAGCAAGGTGAGTGAGTTGAAGGTGAGGTAGGAATCGAACACCGCCCGGTGTTTGTGTATTGTGAATACGCACGAAAGTCATAATGGACTTTCTAATATTTTAAATCTTATGTGAACTCTCTTTGGGCCCCGACATGTTGGTTCTAACCACTAAACCCGATGGTGATGGTACATGACCCTAGCCATTCAACCAAATAGTGATGGCTTGGGGTCACAACCGCTCATCCAGGTGGTGACAGCTCAGGACCACCCATATGTGGCTTTGCAAAAGAGCTAAGAGTTGGTTTAAGTTTTTAAATGGGGTGGGCTTCATCACTAGGAATTAACCAAAACGAGAACGGATGATCGAATAGAGAAAATCTTTTATCTGTTATTTTATTTATATTACTAACAGTTCAATATTAAATTTAATTAAACTTATAACTTCTGATTTTTATATCTTTCATTCCTTTAATAATTATATACATAGTATTATATATTGAATTGATCATTTTAACACGTAAAATTTTATAAAATTGGCTCGATTGAAATCCAAGAGATTCAAAATTTAGGGTATATTTTAAAGTTGCCAAAATTTTTACTCAATTTCACAAAATTGGTTGTTACAGTCAAGGTCGCCTCTGTTGAGCCATTGCTATTGATCCCAAGTATTGCAAGCAAGGAGAAGAGGATTCATTGGAACTGGATCCCTGGGAAAGTGAGTGGTGTCGAAAGGGGAAGACTCCAGTTGAAGAGCCTTCTCGAAAGCGTTAGTTGGCGGTTCCCTCTTGGGTGTCTCGATTGATGTGGGTCCCTCGGCACGGGTAGCGACGAGGGTAATGATAAGCCGAGGAGGCCGATTTGCTCAGGTCGACTTTATAAAGAATTAGAATTCTCGGAATCTTGTTCTACTTGACATGCTCTTGCTCAGGGTCCCATTAGTGCTTCTCTTTTGGTGACCAAAAGTTTTTCAAGTTTTGATTTGAAGAAGCTATCCATGGAGGCAGCTTGTTTACACGCATTAGCTTAACGGGCTTCTGACGCCTTGGCAATCTCTTGCTGTCGTGAGTGCCAAATGCGTTAAGCTCTACAAAGCAAGGTGAGTGAGTTTAAGGCGAGGTAGGAATCGAACACGCCCGGTGTTTGCGTATTGTGAATACACACGAAAGTCATAATGGACTTCCTAATCTTTTAAATCTTATGTGAACTCTCTTTGGGCCCCTACGTGTTGGTTCTAACCACTCGACTCGATGGTGATGGTACATGACCCTAGCCATTCAACCAAATAGTGATGGCTTGAGGTCATAACCACTCATCCAGGTGGTGACAACTCAGGACCACCTATATGTGGCTTTGCAAAAGAGCTAAGAGTTGGTTTGAGTTTTTAAATGGGGTGGACTTCATCACTAGTCTTCTAGGATAGTCAATGGGAAAGTCATATGGCTAGATCCTAGACTCTAAGGAGAAAAGAAATGAAGACCACAAAATGAGGTTAACATGAAATAGTCAAGGTAGTGAATTTAGGGAATAAGCTTTTATAACTGTCATCGATGATAAATATGAGTAATTATATTCTTATTTATATTAAATTAATATTTTATTAAATGAATAATTGCTTTGTTAATTGGTTTAAAAATAAATATTTACTTCTGTCTTGCATTTTGAAAGTTTGAAATATGTCTCATAAATGGGAGGAAAATAACTAACATATGAAAATATATTTTAAAGTAATTTAAATTGATAAGAAATGAAATATAAATATTTGAGTCATATAGGATTGCTCCCAGAAGATATTGACAAATGATACGATGTACCCGTACATGATAAAGGAAATGATAAATGTGTAGCTTCAGATGCAAATTTTGAGAATACATTCGGGTATATTTTTGAGGATACCTTTGGGTGTGATGGTAATCTTGTTATGACTCTTAAGGAGGTTAAAAATGGTAAATACTTAAATTGAAACGAGAAGGGATAAATTTAAAGTGAAACTTTATAGTTTTATAAAATAATGAACTACAATTGTTTTGATCATTCATCCTTATCATTTGCATATAAATTTGATGTATATTAAGATTATAATTGTTCAATAAGTCAAACTTACCGTTGAATTTAATAGTTTCTTTCAGGAAAAGAAAAACTGTCGATTGATGTCTGAAAGGAGAGACTTAGTTTAGGAAAGAAGAGCTACAACTGATAGGTACTCTGTTATGGTGTTGTGATTATAGTTTCCTTTTGCACTATTTTTTTTTGGATAGTGATATACTGTTGTGTGGATATAGATATTTTACTCGCAGATTATGTTGTTATTGTTAGATGATTTAAATTTCTTATGTATATTTGTGGATTTCTGAGCGACTCTTTATTATGTTGGAAGTCTTAAATCTACATACAATAAATTAAATGTTAATACTATCATACCACAGTTCATGACTAAGTTAATTCTAAGTTTTTCAGGCCTGGTCGTGGTACTTCTGTAGTGGGCCCCACTCATGCTTCAATCATAGTAAAGAAACTAAGACGCACTGATCAAGGCCTTGTACTGATAGATCAATTTCTCTATGGCTCTCGGATTGCAATTCATGTGCTTCTTTAAAAGGAGGCCAACCCCTTCTTATTTTTTTCCCTCTTTTTTGGTTTATTCGTATTTTGTGAGCCCTCCTGGAGATCTATATATACATATATACCTTTCTCCTATACAAAAAGGTAGCAATATAAATTTTAGGGAGCTTTTCTCCATCGTTTTATTTTCTAAATTGACCATTCAAAACTTGTGAATGCTTTGGAATCCTTAAAACAATACAACTTTTACTACTTGAAAGTTTTTCATAAAAACTTATGATAACACAACCGCTGCACCGTTTGAGATTTAAACATGCATAAATCAACCCCCAAGGCAGCTATTTAATGAGCAGAAATCATGGTATCACATTATGGCTCTCTTTTAGGATTTTTTATCGGTTGGCTTACATGTAGATGACTGTGAAATACCATTGATAATTCATGTTTTTTATAATCTGAATGTATGATCACATATAGTAAACAACTTAATTAATTAGGTCGAAGGTTATACTTAAGAGTTTGCTACAACTTTTTTTTTAATTAATTAATTAATTATTTTTAAAGTTTGCTACAACTTTGTTTAATTAAATTTATCTTAGAAACTTCATGAATTGAATAGGTTTCTCTCATTAACCTTTGTAATCTTTGCCAAGCTATTCTTTTTACTGTTTTTTGGTTTATCTGATTTTATATTTTTTGCATATGTGGCAGGCTGATTGATGGGAAAGGTAAGAGATGGCAATGTTTTGATGCTGAAATTCAGTGGCATGCTCTTCGAGCAATGGATGCTTTTACTGAGTGTATGTCTTCTGCTCCCTTGCAACATCCTCTACTAAAGGTGATCAGAATCTACTGCAATACTAATAATAATAACAGTCAATATTTTGCTAGTGAAGAGCATAAAAATGTGTTCTGATTGTAAATACTTTTTGTTACATATGTGTCATTCTTTGAAGTAGTACTTACAGTGAATGGGATATAAATGAAAAAAATTTACAAAATTCATCATATCCCCCTTGTGTTTGATACCAACGTATGCTGCTTTGGCCTAATTTGCTGTTGTTTTTTGCAGATGATAAATTGCAAGCTTATTTGTGCAATTTATGAGTATTCTTAAACCGATTTGAATTTTTCATTTCTTTATGGATAAATTGAACTATTTCTTGAATCCCAACCATCTGTTGAACAAAAAATGATTTCCATCCTCTTTCATTTGTAAGTTTGCATTTTCTTCTGCCTTCCACCCATTTTTTGACATGCACTTGCACATAATTCTGTCGCAATCTTCCCTGTTTTCCTCATTCCACTCCTATTTTTTTTCTCTACTAACCGGTTAGATTCTTGAATTCAACTCACTGCATGAAAATTTTAGAAGTTTAACCAATTTTGGTTTGCTTCTCTTTTGGATTTTAGGAACTAAAGCATTTTGGTTTTGATTCAGATGTACCTACTAGATTTTGGCTTGAGTTTTGTCTACCCTGGGGAGCGAACGCCACACCCCCCACCTCCCCCAAGGTTATTTGAAAGTTACATATTGTATTTAATATCAAAAAGCAAAAGGTACAAAACTATGCATTTACAATGTGATCTCTACCCCTCTAGAGGCAAAAAAGAGGAGGATCTTTATTTACATGCTTCAAAACAAGACTATCATGTAAGGCAGTCACCGAGCAAAAATGATTGCCTTATTGCACTTCTTTTGAATTAAGTGGAAGAGCACCTGTTTGGACTGTGAAAATAATGTGAGATCAGGACCATCTTTGGGTTAAGTGCAACATATTTTTAATATTAATGTTCTGATGAAGAAAGTTGATGGCATTGATGTTGTCCCCCTCAATGATAATCCTCTTCATCTTCAGCATCAATGACTCCAGCATTTTCTTGATGGGAAAGGCAGCTGTAAGTTCAACCTTCGCAATGTCCTAATATCCATGTCCAGCTGTATTGAATTTAGTCTCCCTGCTTATTATGGATGATCACACTCATGCCCACAGCAAGAGGAAGTAGTGCCCCATTGGCATTCGACTTGATTCAACCAGGATTAAGATAAATTATTTGAAAAAAAATCAATAGTCATCATAATCAATTTAAGGAAAATTAAGTATAAAAAATATATGAAAAATTAAGTATAAAAACTATATGAAAAATTACCAACGAATGTTGAACTAAAAGGTTCAACAAATCAATCCTTAACTATTCTCAAAAGACATCTAGCTATTTAACCATATCCTAAATTTAATTTTAAATTATGATCAAACATGCATGATTTTGAAAATTTATTCTCAAAATTAAAGAATAATAATCTTGCTACAATAGAAGAAATTGATTCTGAAATTGAAGAAATTTTTTCATAAAAAGAAGCAATTGATGAATTATTTGAAAAAAAAATCAATAGTCTTCATAATTAATTTAAGGATTTAGAGTTAAACTTTTTCGAAGTAAAAAAAAAAAAATTTTTTTTATATATATATATAGAAAAATGCCGCTTGATAAACATTATTATATAATGGCAACTCAATTTGTTTTTTTCGAAGATAATACTGAAAGGTAGGCAAATCAATTTGTTTTATTCGAAGATAATATTGAAAGGTATCAACATGTTTATGTTGTCACACAATTCTATGAATGAAGCAGATGTGGTCAAATTGAGATTTGAATTCAAGAGACTCTACTTAGAATACTGAAATACGTCGCTCGTCACAATTAAGAAGAAAGTTAGCTCCCTTAGTAGCCAAAATGATCACCTATAACTTTGCATGTATTCCCATAGAATAGTGTGACAATTGTTTCACTCGAAATGAAAAATAAGATTTGTTAAGAGAAATAAAGTTTGAAGATGTTAACATTCCAAATACATAAGCAATATATAATGTTATAATCACAATATTAGAAAATTTTATAGGAAACATTTTAGATAATGGTGGAAAAATCAAATCATTATTATAAAAGTTAAGTTTTTCGACATTAACACATTTTAGATGATATAGAGATGTGTCTATGAGTCGAGTAATCCAATTAGGCGATGTAGGTTATCTGCATTCAAAACAAAAGTTTATTGAAGATCTTCTTAACTTTTTTGCTGAAAAGGGTGAGAGAGTCCTTAAAGCTTCTAATAAAATAATTCCCTATAAAATATTAACATATGAAAAAATAATTAATAATTGCATCACAACTAGTTTAGAAATCTGTTCAGAAATCAAGCTTAACCATCAACTTAAACAATGGAATTCTACGAAGAAAATAATTAGGCCAATTCTCCGAGCAATTTCTAGTTATTTTAATGTAATTCTAAGTGGTGGAGATAATGTGAAGTGAGAGAGAATTTGAAGATGATATATTATGAAGCATTCTCGAGAAAAATCTTATGAGTGAAAAGCCACTGGTACCATCAATAATAACTATTGAAAATTGTATAATTAACTAATGGAGAAGGGAGCAGAAGGAGAAGAGTTGCCAAGAAATGATAGGTCTTATGGAATAGAGTGGAGAACCAATGAGATTTAACTTAATGACTACGTGAAAGATCAATGCCAGGTTATTGTGGCAAATATTGAATAGAACCATAAAATCTATACCAAGATTTGCTTTAAGTAGGGGTCAAATGCATAATGTTAAGATGCAAAGCATTGCATCACTCACACTTCATAACCAAATGATGGACATGACAAATTTATCGCTTTATTTTAAAGTGCAATATTAAAGAAGTTGATTTTTGCATCTCATCTTATATTTATACTAGGGGAACCACGCAGACTGTATGATGTCGTGCAAAGTCAATTTTTTTAGGAGAATTGATGGTTTGATTTTGCTTCATCTGTTGACACTAGTTAAAGTTTCTTTTCCTGGCTAACATGTCTTCTAATGTTGTTCCTTCAGTGGAAAATGTATGCATGTTTTTTCTTGCTGGCATATTTTGGTCATTTTTAATTTTATCAATGTTATGTTGGAATATTCCAAGCTTTTCAATTGTGTCTTGTTTATTGACTATGCCAGGACTCCATTGCGGATATGCTTGTAGCCTTGGAAGGAATACTTCAATCTGAAAATGAAAGGATTTTGAGCCTGACAGTGGAAGTTCTTACGAAGTTATTGAGTAGGCTAGGAAGTTCTATACGGCAATTTCATGTGGTTGAGGTAGTTTTTGCTCTATCACGATTGTTATTATCATCCCACCCGATGGTTACTATTTCATCTGTGGTTGCGTTGAAATACATCCTGACAAACTTTGGTAGCATGAGCCCTAAGTTCTACGTGGGAGTTTGGAATGCTTTAGAAAATGCCAATACAGTATGCAACATTTCTCTTGCTCTACAGGATTACGTAGTGGGAATATCATCTTCTGAGTATTTCATGCAAATGAGCTCACTTCTGAAGATTATAATGTGGAAGTGGCCTCCCTCTAGGTATCATGTTTGGAGCAACAAGAATTTGATGGCTAAACTAGAAGGCGGATTGTCTGATTCGGATTCTAACATCGTTGTTAGCATTCTGCAGTTGTGTTCTGCCCTAGGTATCAGTAAACTTTGTCAATTCTCTATATTGGTCTCATAAAGCTTATTTGAGATTATTTTCTGAATTTAATCTTCTTTATCATTAAAAGACACTAATTTGTTTCAGCTCTTTGTGGTAATGGGGCACTGAAGATTTTAGAAAACAAGGAGCTTATTTCTAAAATTGTGTGTGCCTTGGAAAGTTCACGCCCTCATGATGTTCGAGTTGAGGCGCTGAAAACATGTCAACAATTATCGGTACTAATTATGAAGCAGAGAATTTTGTAACATTTAGTGTTCATAATGCATAATAACTCTCTCTTTTAACAGACATCTCAAGAAGGATGCTCAAAGCTAACCAACAGTCACGGTGAATCCATTGTTAAAGGAATAGTTGCTGCAATGAGTGAATTGCGGTCATCAGATTTTAGGAAGGTCACTCCTGATCAAATGAATTTAGTGAAGGAAGCATTTCGATCTGCATTAATTACTCGCTGGGCCGGTATTCATCATTCCTGTTTCTGGAAACTTAAGGTGGATAGGATCCTTTTTGGTGTTCTTTTTGGCAGTACCAGCTCCGCTTTTGAAAATCAAATTGTATTCCATTCTAATAAAATTTTAACTAAACTTCCTAGTAGCAATATTGACTTAAGACCATACATTTGGAATATTCTTGGATGGATTGCAGTGCATTGTGCAGAAGATTTTCCCAACAATGGGAAATCAGGATACTTAGAAACACTTATTAACAATGCATGGTATGTTTTGCCTACTTTTCCAGAATATCAGTCTCTCATCTTAGGCACTGCTGATTCCAGCTATATGGATATTCCTTTGTTTTTGAAATGTGCATTCTAGTTCTGATTCCTTTTCACCTCCTTTTTGATACAGTGCAATGGCCAATGAGTTTTGGATTAATGGGATAACATTCTTATCATCTGAAAGCTGTGAAGTTGAGCTTGTTTCTAGGGCAGTCTTACTGATGGTTTTTTCACCCTGCAAGTATATTTCATCACAAGCAAGGACTTGTCTGTCAGAAGTGGCCAAGACTTCCGGTGATAAATACCTTGAGAAGTTAATAACTTGCTTGATGTTAAATTTTAGAGAAGATGTCTCTCCAGTTTCTTACAGTCTTCATACTTTCCTTATAAGTCTAGCTTGCTATTCAACTTTGCCATTATATCAGCAGTTCATAGTTCAAAGAAAAGGCATAGATCTATTGGTTTCTATAATTAGGAAGTGCTTGGAAAGTGAGATACATGCTAGCAGGTCAGGCATTACATCACATCTGCATGGTTCCTGTGACGGAGAATTATGTTGCTGGAGTAATATAGAAGATTGGGAAGGTGGGGACCTGATCTTATTTCATAGTCTTCAGATACTTTCTCAATTGGCACCTTTCTCTAACTTAATATGTGATTATTCCAAGATAATCTCGAGAGATTATGCGACCTCTAATACTTCTGGCGGTATGGCTGAATCTTTGTTCAAGTGTCTTAGCACTATATTAGAAAACAACTATAGCCCTGGAATTAAAGGGTATGCTCAGTACACGTTAAGCTTTTTTGGTCTATATGGTTATCCAAGCAAGTTTGGCAAACGGATGTATAGAGCACTCGCTGAAGATGAACTTGCTGACATACAATTTCTGCTTTCAAGTGATCAGCGTTTGAGAGTTCATGGTGCCATTCTTGTGGCTAGCTGTCCTTATCTTCTGCCTCCTAAAGAATCTTTCATTAAGAAGAATTTGTTGGATTGTGAATCTTTCAAAAAGAGTAGACAGCACGGAACAATTTTCAGACATGAAGTAAAACTTTCTGAACATGTTGATTGTTCTGCGTTTGTGAAGATTCTGGAATATGTTTATACAGGGTTCGTTATTGTTAAAGATGATGAGGTTAAACCTGTACGCATTCTAGCGAAGCAATGTGGCTTGAATTCCCTGTCATATATGCTTAATAGAAAGCTGCCAGCATGGGGAGTTTCTGTCTCAAGCTGTGATTTTAGCCATGCGCTTGAACAAGCAGAACATCATCTTTCGTAAGTGTAATGTTTGGCAAAATTAATACAAGGGCCATGTACATACATACCATATAATTCTTATGTAATTACTTTCCTAACACCTCAACATTCATATTTACATGCATACCATTCAATCTTCAACATCACATCCAAAAAACCACCATCACTACCTATTTAAAAGTGAGATGCACCTTTTCTGCATAGGGTTATGACTCCAATGTGTTATAAGTGCAAATATCAAACGTTGGGCATTAGATATGTAAATGCTTAAGAATTATGTAGTATGTATGTAAAATTCCCTTTAATAAATTGAGTCTATTTTCTCAGATAAATTACTGTGCAAATACATAACAAATTGTAATGATTTTGTTAAATGAAAATATAGATGGGATTCTTTCTTGTCAATTCTACTAGTTAATGACTCGGTTTTGACGCTCGAATTATATGGTGAGATTGGTGTCAAGCTTTTTGTGTGAAAAAAATGAAAACGGGTTATATTAATTTGTGCAAGTTATAAATGTGTTCACATTGGATTGATAGCTATATAATTCGATGCATGAAAGTGTAATTACTATGAAAGCATAATACAATCTTGAGTTTTGGCTGAGAAGGAATTGACAAGAGAGAGAAGAGGGGAAGAAGGAGAATTATACCGTAGTTAACCTAAACCATAATAGAAAAATCAAATATTATTATTGGAAAGTCGATCAGGCTATTGCAACTCACATACTGAAAGAAAATTACAACCAACTATAAGGAAATAGGAAGTAACAACACACCTATTACACATCATGTGGCTAGGGTTGGATCAAGGGTGGTGGAGATGGGTCGGTGAAGGTTGGACGGTGGTGGGATGCTGAACGAGATGGTCAACAAACAAAAAACAACAAAAATGATGGTTTTATGGGTTCTGGAAAGCAAGCATGCAACTGATGTCGATGTAGCGTGGCTATCCGACATGAGGACAACAAGGGCGGCTAGGTATGGGTGCAAATTCTGACAGTGGACAACAAGTGGAAGAGTTTGTGCAACAGTGAAGGTAGGAGATGGGGGCAGCAATGGGAAGGGGAGAACTGCAGGGAAGACAGCTACAGGAAGCTGTCCGAGTGGATTTAGTAGGGATGGAGCGGTCGAGATCGATGTGGGAGGAGACGAAAGGGCATAGGTGTGACGACCCGACCCGACCCAAGATTTGGAATTAACCAAGGCAGGTAAAAACGGTTGGATGGTTAGAACTAAATTTTCTTTATTATTTTATCATTTAACAAATGAAAGAATCACTAAACAAATTAAATTAAAGTAATATATTTAAATTTATTTCGTTACTATTTGCTCGAATCTTTTATAAACATTTTCTTATATATCGCTTATTTTTTAATCACTTAATTAAATCTGAAATATTAATTTAAAACAATAATAAACTAAACAAAGCTAGTGAATATTAATACTCTTAAAATACAATAATAATATAATAAAAAAATAGAAAAATGCATGTTAAGTTTTTTAATTAATTAATATATGATGTTATTTAATGAAGATTACAATATTAGAGTATATATATCATTTTATATCCGTACAATCATCATAAGAGCACCGTCTAAAAATTATACTATTTAAAAGTACTTCAATATCAGTATCTTTTTCTATTTACGTGCATGAGTATATTAGTGTTTCTTTGCTAGTACAATAAAATTGTGACTCTATCATAGACAAACATGCACATACAAGCATACTATAAAAATATTACTTTCTAATAATAATCACTTCATTCTCATTTGCATATCAGTCAATATTATTGTAAATGATCAAATTTTTATGTTAATTTAAATAAAGCTGAGCACATAGGTCATTCTAATAATAGATAAAAAATTCAATAGAACCATAAATCATAGATATGTAATGCTATAATATTGAATGCATTTGGTGAAGAAGAAACAAATATCACTATAACAAAAGAATATGAGCACTCACCTCGATGACTTTAATTTATTGTTTTGCCTTGATGTCCACTCTTTTAAAATTGAAAGCCTAAAATAAACATAACATTCATATTAAAATTTAATTTATTTAATATGTTATTACAAATTTAATAATTTATTATTTTATTTTATTTAATCTTGCCAAATTTATATTCTATATATATATATATATTAATAATATTATTAAATTAATTAAATTTAAATTTAATAAAGCTTACGTGATCCTTAATGCACGTGCAAGGGCCTCTTCCTCTCAGTGAGATCCGGATCGCATGAGAGCTGGCTTTGGCTCGTTCCCGCAGGAACTCAACCTATTGCCTCTTCTTTCTCTGCGCGATGTTTTTTCTTTTTTTCTTTTCGTAGATTGGCTAGAGCATGGGCTCTCCTCTTGCACCGAAGTCACGAGCAGCTCTATTCTCCTCTGCTCGAGAAAGACGTCGATGTCCGTTGCTTTTGGCAATGAGGAAGACCTAACATGTTGCATTCCACTCTCTAGTAAGTAACTAGGCTCTGTCGCCCCTCCTATGCAAGGATTTATCCACAAAAGTATCCATTTGGCTTTCCGGTCCTCTCGCTTCATCTCACCCCTCTTTGACTTCCCCACTTCTCACTGCGGTTCTCATGACTTTGTAGTTCTTGTGAGTAAATGAAACATACCCCAAGCAAGTTAACATTAGCTATATATGAAACTAATGAAAAGTAATGATTATAAAGGTAAAAACTCGATACAAGACTCAACTATACTTCAGATAATAATATTAAAGCAATAAAGTATGTTGGGAAAATGCCCTTATATATAAGAAAATGACAAACTCATCACACCTCATCACCATCTACAACAGGTTCGTCAGGTTCATTAAGAGAGGAAATATACTGAAGGTCGAATAGGTTGTCTTGGTTGACTTTGAATAGGAGTTAAAGCTATAGACTATCTTTTTCTGTCCACCTGCGGTCTTGTGTGAAGGAGCTCCACCTAATTTCTGATCTTCAGAGCTCTTCTAGCTAAGAGATGGACAATAGCTTGCTATATTATTAGGCTACCAATAGCAAGTGTTAGAGCCCATCAAGCATCCACCTTTATGTTGTCTTCCGTATTTGGTATAATTGACTACAGTACCCTGAGTTGTACCTTTGCAAACTTCACCCAAATTATTCTTAGACTTCTTCCCTTTGGATCCCTCCGATTGATCCAAATATTCTTCATCAACACTATTCCTCTTGTGGTTCTCCTTACGCTTCTCAGTAAGCTGATAACAAATTTCCACTCTTCTAGCTCATTAGAGTAGTACTAAGTATTCATTTATTCCTGAGGGTAGAAAAGACTGCTTGATCAAATCCTTTATTCCTGAAAGAAAGCTATAACACCCTTTTTCTACAGTAATGATCAACTGTGACGCATACCTCGATAGTGTAGTGAATTCTGCTTGGTACTACATGACTTTCTTCTCCCATTGTCTCAACTAGATGAACCTGTCCTGCATCTGTCTTTGAGCGGATAGGGGTACATACCTCTCTCTAAATAACTCTACAAATTCTTCTCAACTGACCGTCATATTGGGTATGTCTGCTAGCTTGTCTTGGTGCTGCCTACGCCATCACCTTACGAAGTCTCTATCTAGCATAAAAGAAGTTAACTATACTCATTTCATTCAGACAAGTCATGATATTTAGTATATTATCTATCATCATTAGCCATTCTCCACTTCAATTGAGTCTTTAGTTCCATTGAACAAAGGTGGACATAGATTTTGAAAATTCTTCAGGTATTTATCCACAACGACTGTATCACTTCCGATAGACTGTGATATGGACTTCTGAATCAATCGAGTCATTGTCGTCATTATCTGAGTCAAGACATTCATGTTCACATTTATAGTAGATTGTTCTTCATTTTCTATCTGATTCTCTTATTCTAAAATTCTTCAGGTATTTATCCACAACGACTGTATCACTTCCGATAGACTGCGATATGGACTTCTGAATCAACCTAGTCATCGTCGTCATCATTTGAGTCAAGACATTCACGTTCACATTTATAGTAGGTTGTTCTTCATTTTCTATCTGATTCTCTTATTCTATAATTTTGAGTTTATCACTATGCCTGAATGAATATAATTATTAATTGAGTTAAATTAAATTTAAAATTTATTATTATTAAAATTTTTTCATAATTACCCTCTTAGCTCTTTCATCATGATTCTATTAATTAATTCTAATCATTGTCTCTGATATCACTTTTATCACAATCCAGCCCGGACTTGAAATTAACCCAGGCCAATGCAGACTGTCGGACTGTGGGAAATGCTTTCTATATTTATTTATCATTTAAGAAATGAAAAAGTCATTAAACAAAATAAATTAAAGTAACTGGCTGTCCACGTTTTCTGTAAATATTTTCTTTTCTATCGCTCATATTTTAATTACTTCATTAAACTTGAAATATTAATTTAAAATAATAGTAAGCAAAACAAAACTAGTGATATTAATACCCATTAACTGCAGTAATATAAGAAAAAAAGTAAAGTGCATGTCATCTAAATTTTTTTAATAAATTAATATAAACATGTGATACTATTCAATGAATATTATAATATCAACTGTATATGTAAAGCCCAAATTTCAAGGAAACAGGTAAAGCTTGACACATTTTAAAAGTATTCCAAAATTTTTTCTCCCGAAATTTTATCAAAATAATTTTATTGAAATCTCCATATGAAATTGAGCACTTCGATATAAAACACCATGCAAGAATTGTTAATAGATTGGAAGATATAAAATTTTGAAGTTATATATTTAATTTACTTTAATTAATACCTAATTAAATCTCCGTAATTCTCAGCACTATAGGCTATAGACCTTATGCCATTTTTATTCGTTTCGTTCTTTTCCTTCGCCACACTTCTGTATAGAAGTTTGCCTCATTTTTTGTGCTTTTTTTGTTTCTGGTAGCTGTAGGACATGTCAACCTCGTGTCGAAAGTGATTTGAAAGTTTTCACATGAGTTTTAACACGAAATTAGCAAGAGGAAAGTGAATATTA